TATTGTACGAAAAAGAACAATTGCCATGAAAAACTTTCAAATGCAGACATGTCTTTTGATTTTAACTCGTCGATGGTCTTATGCGTAAAACGGCCCAAAACTCAAAATTGAAGCAAAATGAAAACTAAAACTGAAACTGATCCTGATTGGCTAATATTAGCCAATCAAATTCGAGCAACTAGGTCAGCCATTTCGATTGATACTGAGATTAATCCTGATTGGCTCATATAATATGTAATAACTGAAGTAATTGTATGTTGATTACGTGTTTTCAATTTGAAATAAAATTTCTGACTATTTTTCTAATTTTGGGCCGTTTAACGCATAAGACCCCTCGTCGAATATACTTTGCAGCTGGATGAATATTAATTCAATATATGTGATTAAATTTATCTGATACGATTTTCCCCGCTTTTGTTTGAGAAAACATTCATGCTTCACTGAGAAAAGACGCGTGATAAATATTTATCTATGTTACACGTGTGTTCGTTATGTTTCTGCGCTGAATTATAAAATAAAACACTAGTATGCAATATGGTTCCGTGCCTTAGTTGCACAATTAAACAAACACAACTGAAAGTAAATTCAAAGCAAGTGTTGGTGAGAAAACTATTTTCGATAGTAAATTTATGTCTTCAAGTTTATGTCTTGAAAGTTCATAAATTTTCTCGAAACAAAATCTAGCTAATGTTTTACAATGCAAAACATTTTTATCGTCAATCAGTTCAAAAAATAGTTTAGACAGATAGAAACACTAGTGATAGATGATTGCTCATTACTAGTGTTTCTTTGAATCATAATAAGAAAAAGACTGCTTGTATCAGGGAAAGGCCAAAAGTTTTCCGTCTGCCTCTTAAGGTCTATGGAAAAATTTGGTGTAATTAAATAAATCTAATTTTTTTTTAATTTGAGATTTTTCGTGAAAATCATCCACATTCCATATGAAAAACACAGTGGTAAAATTTGCTCCTAGTCAAGTCAGTTATGGCAAATAAGTTTTCTTCAAACACTTCGAAACTATTTCTAAGTTGGATCAAATATCCGCTTATGCGTTAATAGCGCGAATTATATCGCGCGATGATTGTCCCAAGTTGGCCAAAACGGCAACGGTCAAACCCTCCTAATCTTACAAAAAAAAAGATCACAGGTGAGGTTTTTGTTCAATTTTAGGCTCAATTTAACAATAATTTTGGATTGATAACTAAAAACTACGTTAAAAATAGCTAGTTAAAAAGTCAAAATTTATCTGAAGAAAAAAACAACACTAGCACAAATATTCCGTTACTTTGTTTACAAAAGTGGGAACAATGAGTAAGTTTTCGAAACATATAATAATACAAACAATTTGAACAGCTTCATATATTGGGGTTTTTCATGAGAGTCTACAATAATAGCTACAATTGCTTGCTTTCTATTGGAGTCGTTATGAACAAATTGAAGTTTATGCGGACTTGATAGTAGCAAAGGGTTATCTAAAACGATCATGAAAACATTTTATCGGCGCATAATGCTGTTCAATTGTACCGAACCAAGAACACAATTATATCGTAAGAAAGTAACGGAATACTTGTGCTCGGGGTGGGTTTTTTTTCTTCAGACAAATTTCGACTTTTTAACTAGCCATTTTTGACGGAATTTTTTTCATACCATTCGAAAGAAATAGTGTCCTGAGCTCAAATTTGAAAAAAATATTTCACCTGTGATCATTTTTCGTAAAATAATGGGGGTTTACAGATTGCCACTTTGGCCAATTTGGGACAATTAATGCGCGATATATTTCGCGCTATTAAAGCGTAAGCGGAGAGTTAATCCGTCTTAAAAATCGTTTCAAATTGGTTGAAAGAAGCTTATTTGCAATAATTGATTTGTTACAAGCAGCGAAATCTATCCTTTTGTTCTTTATATGGCGTGTAGGGAGATGATTTTCATTTAGAAAAAATAAATTTTGCATTTTAGAAAAAAAACTTTTTTTTATTACATTTAATTTTTTAATGTTATTACTGCTCCATAAACCTTAAAAGGCAGTCGGAGCATTCAGGTCTTCGCCCTGATACAAGCAGTCTCACTTTTTTTAAATTTCTTCCTCCTGCAGGTCTAAATTTTTTTTGATAACACTCATTCTATAGTTTTCTAGATCAAATTAGTATTTTTAAAAGCGGCTCCATAGCATGCAAGGCCCTGAATGGTCAGTCTGCCCTGTAAATGGTCTCAGCTACTTTGAATTAATCCTCACAAACTGCTAAATTGGCAACTTTTTAACCCCTAGAACTTAACAAAAAACAGACCGGATAAAAAAAATTACACCTCTATACTTTTTGGGTATAAAACCAATGAAACTGTTATTTGAACCGATATGAATAATTTCGACTGAGTAAACCTTATTACATGTAGCCCATCAATTTTAAACAAATCTTTTGAAACGCTTAATCTAAACTCTTGTAGGTGATATCTTTCTTTACTGCACACCCTTTTTGTTCCGATTTTCAATACGAAAGTAACGGAATATTTGTGCTCGGGGTGGGTTTTTTTTCTTCAGACAAAATTTGACTTTTTAACTAGCCATTTTTGACAGAATTTTTTTATATCGTTCGAAAGGTATTGTTGTCCTGAGCTTAAATTTGAAAAGATATTTCACCTGTGATTATTTTTTGTTAAGTTATGGGGGTTTAAAGATTGTCATTTTGGCCAATTTCGGACAACTAACGCGCGATATATTAACGCGTAAGCGGGGAGTTACACCGTCTTAGAAATCGTTCCAAGTTGGTTGAAGGAAACTTGTTTGCCATAATTGATTTGTTACTAGGAGCAAAATCTATCAACTTGTACTAAAATTGAAGTGTGCATGGATGTTTTTACAAAAAACATCAGTTTTTTTTTTAATTTTACTTTTTTTTTATTTTACTACTAGATTTCAATTTTTCATGATATTACTGCTCCATATACCTGAAAAAGCAGTCGGAACATTCATACTTCCTGATACGAGCAGTCTCAGTTAACGCGTAAGCGGGGAATTAATCCGTCTTAGAAATCGTTCCAAATTGGTTTAACGAAGCTAATTTGCCATAATTGATTTGGTACTAGGAGGGAAATCTATCTTTTTTTGCTATATATGGCGTGTGGGTGGATGATTTTCATTTAAAAAATTCAAATTTTAGAAACAAAAAACTTTCTTTTATTTTATTACATTTAATTTCTTTAGGTTATTACTGTTCCAAAAACTTTATTAGGCAGTCGGAACATTCAGGACTTGATACGGAACATTCATCGCCCTGATACGAGCAGTCATATTTATTTATAATTTTTATTTTATTTTTCTACTTAAGAGGCTCATTTTGATGTAATTTGTCATAATTTGACCCAGTATTTTTTGACCTAGTCCTACTTAAGGGGCAAAATAAATTGCAAACCCAGTTTTTTTTGCTAAGCTCGTGACCAAAGTTATGCCTCAAACCCGATAATTTTTGTTTTTTATTCAGTGAAAAATTGCACCAGAACTACCGATCAATTGCTGACAAACTAGTTTCAAAATGAGCATCCTATTCAGCCCAACAAGTGTTACGAGAGGGTACCCACACTGGAGTTCCATGGATAATAATCGAATAAATTGTCATTTTACAGCCAGTATCTATAAAATTACAAAAATAATCGATTTGTATCCATCAAAAATTGATTATAATCCATTATTTTTTTTATCAATACAATCCATTAAAATCAATTATAATCCATTAAAATTGGATTAAATTCTTTTTTTATGCCAGTGTAATCCCTTATAATCGATTTCAATTATAATGGAGTTTTTTGAGAGGCTAGTCATGAAATATACAACTTTTTTCAAAGTTTCGAATTTCCTGTTTAGTGCAGATGCTACGTATTAGGTTTCATAAAATGTAACATTTCAGTTTTCCCTGTTTAACCCATGTTTAGACCGCCCTCCTGTTTACTTCGCCCCCCATGTTTAGCCCCTCCCCCCTGTTTAGTCCCCCACATTTTCTTCCCTGTATACACCCCCCACCCCGTTAACCTCCCTGTTTACCCCATCCCCCCAAAGAAAAAATTGGTCCCTAAGAGTAAACCTTATTACATGTAGCCCATCAATTTGAAACTAACATTCTGAAACGCTTAATCCAAACTTTTGTAGATGATATCTTTCTTTACTGCACGCCCTTTTTGTTCCGACTTTCGATCCGAAAGTAACGAAATATTTGTGCTCGGGTAGGATTTTTTTTCTTCAGACAAATTTCGACTTTTTAACTACCCATTTTTGACGGAATTTTTTCATGTCATTCGAAAGGTATTGTTGTCCTGAGCTCAAATTTGAAAAGATATTTCATGAAATATACAACTTTTTTTCAAATTCGTCGATATTCCTGTTTAGTGCAAATGCTACGTATTAGGTTTAATAAAGTGTAACATTTCAGTTTTCAATTTTTATAATTCTTCCCTGTTTAACCCCCCAACCCCTGTTTACCCCCTCCCTTGTTCACTGTTTAACCCCTCCCTGTTTACCCCCCCCCCTGTTTACTCCGCCACCCATGTTTACCCCTCCCCCCTGTTTACCCCCTCCTCCCCGTAATTTAAATCAGCACTGAAACATTCAGTAAAATAAGTCGTTTTTGTTCCGACTTTCGATACGAAAGTAACGGAATATTTGTGCTCGGGGTGGTTTGTTTTTCTTCAGACAAATTTCGACTTTTTAACTAGCCATTTTTGACGGATTTTTTTTTTATCATTTAAAAGGTATTGTTGTCCTGAGCTCAAATTTGAAAAGATATTTCACCTGTGATCATTTTTCGTAAAGTTTTGAGGGTTTAAAGATTGCCATTTTGGCCATTTTGACCAATTTGGGACAATTAACGCGCGATATAATTCGCGCTATTAACGCGTAAGCGGAGATTTAATCCGTCTTATAAATCGTTCCAAATTGGTTGAACGAAGCTTATTTGCCATAATTGATTTGTTACAAGGAACGAAATCTCTTTTTGTATTTTATATGGCGTGTGGGGGGATGATTTTCATAAAAATTTTCAAATTTTAGAAAAAAAAATTTCACTTTATTCTATTTCATTTAATTTTTTTATGTTATTACTGCTGCTCCATAAAACTTAAAAGGCAGTCGGAACATTCAGGGCTTCGCCCCGATACGAGCAGTCTTGTTTATCTTGATGTTCGAATGGCAGAAAGTATGAACACAATCATTTTCCAGGTTTCATTTTTTTTTCGATTTTTTAACTTGTTTGGCTGATTTATATCTTTCTATCATTTGATCTTTCTGTTTACAAGAATTTTTCCGGTTTAGTCATTTGCAGGTCGAACTCGTCTGGGAATTTGATAATCGGTGTTGAAAATCCAATTGAAGAGCTGCAGACTTTTCGAGGGTCCAATATATCGATCAAAAAAGTCTCTTCCATCTGATGTGTAAAACGTGGAGATCCATCCAGAAATCATGCGCAGACCGAATGTGATCAATTCTTGAGCAAACCAGATCACCACGGCCCCTGAAACAATTTTTTTATACTATTCAACACAACTACCATCTATTAAGGCGAGGCAACAACTCGCCGCCAGTAAAAAATGTTCACAAGCGACGATTTGTAGTCATTTTTAGGGTTCAGACATCACCAAACATCCACAAGTTCATAAAAAGCCTGTCAAGAAAAAAACCTGCCGAAGGATTTTTTCGCTCGATTGACTTCCGGAAAGTTTCCGCCACAGAAACAAAACACGACAAAACACCATCTTGATTGACAGAACTCCTAGAGCTTGATACTAACCATACCAATCTCAAGAGGGATTTTAATCAATTTTTCTTTCGTTTCGGTTTTCAAAAAAATTGGGATTCTTTATACATAATGTGAAAACTTCTTCAGTCCAATATTTTTAGGAGCTCAAAGTAAAGTAGAAAAGACTACAAAAAAAATCGAATAAAATGAGTAAATTTAAAACTAAAGCACATCCAAAAATCGGAAAAATTGCACAGTGCAATGATATAAATTGATGAAAACAAAAATTTAACTTACGAAAACAAGCTGGCGATAAATAAATACTAAAGGGCAGTAGTGGAATTAGGGGGGGGGGGGTATTGCGGACGCCCCCTTCAGGGATTCGACCCCTGCGGACCCAAAGGGTCCACCCTTTGCACTATTTTGTGACATCAATTTTTGGCTGACTGACTGACTGACGATTTGCCTTCGACGCCAATATATACTAATTTTGAAGGGGGTTCAAAATTAGTATTCCCAAAATATGTATAATTTTCCAAAAAGTATATGAAAACGCCTTTTTTGTCCTATTTTTTGAAAAATTTGCGGGCGGCGCAAAAAGTTTGGTCAAAATAGGGTGTCTTGTCCCTTTTCCAGTTTCCCCCCTTTGACTTTTTCGGAAATTTAATATATGAGAACTTATTTAGAATGACTTTTCATGTTATGAACTGCATTAACACGTGTCAGCGTGAACAGGTGAAAAAAATTTCACAGTATTTCTCACAGGCAAAATGCGGTGTGAACAATTTTTGAACAGCTTTATTTTCAAATTTTACGAGGGGGAGGGAAACTGGAAAGAAGTCGGTGTCCTATGTGATATTGGAGAGCTTAGAAAATCAGCAATTTGGTCGACCTAGAAAAAAAGGATAGAGAAAAATTTCAAAAAGAAATGAAAAACCAATGCCCTACCCCCTCGAGAAGTTCGTAGATCAGCTTTCATCAACTATGACAAACCTTTATCACAGATATTTCATTGAACAATTATAACGACAAATTATTTTTGAATACGGTTCAATTTGATTTACTTTGATTAGTTTTGCCAAGTTTTTTACCGTGAACAGAAACGCTTCAAACTAATAACAATTTCATGGTTGGCTCCCTATATATAAAATAACCTTCTACATAAAACAATGAACATAATATTTACCACTTTCAAATAGATTTCAAACTAATATCAAAATTTTTTCGTGAAATACAAACTCAATTAAAACGTCTCCAAAACAAAACAAAAGTAGTCAAAAAGAAGAACAACCAAGAAGTAGAATTGAATTTATATATATGAAATGTTTTGGTCTGAAGAAAAAATAGAGTTAAATTTGTTGAACTGACATAACAAAAGAATAGGTCTGATTCATATATCGATATGCAGACAGATGAAATTAGGTTTTCCAGCGTGTGAAATAACTTAGCACCACTGGTGGGCGACCTTGGCGCCACTGCAGAAACTGCAACAATGGATGCAACGTATAAACAAAGTATATTGTATATGCGTGGCATCACATATCCGTAAATAACGTACTCAAAACAAAGTTTATTATTTGAAAACTCAAAGCTTAAGATACAGTCAAGTTTGTACAGAGTTTTAGGCAGGAAGTTTACGGTTGCTGCCACGAAACTGATCTTTGTAAAACATTCATTTCGGAGACTGCTTTTTTGGCGACGAGTCTGATTGTAAGAAGTTTACGACGTTTCTCCGAATAGACCGATAATTATTTGCAACCGGAGCGGGCAATCAAGAAGAGGCAGCAGATTCTTCCACTTCTTTCACAATGGCGAACTGCGCTTCCGTATCGGGATGGAGCCCCTGTTCCGTCCTGACGCCCTGGCACTAGAAGATTAAGACGATTGCGAGTCGATGTCGTCCTCTACCGCGGATTGTGGTGGCTGGGGTTGACCCGCGGTGCCTGAAGGAACGGGATCTGACATCGCGACTCCTGTAGGAACTGTTTGGGAATTTGAGTCTCCGCGGGGGTGTCTGAAACTCTCGTGGTGGCGTACCGGGATCGAAGAGTCTGGCCTCGTGATTCTGCGGGGTCGGTAGCCGACAACGTGGCAACAGAACTGTTCGACCCATTAAGACACACCATTGGCGAATCCGAACGCGGAATTGGGTACAGTGGGGTCGATATGGTGTTTGAGGTACTACTTGTGCCGGAAGTAATTCAAGAGGGACTGAGTTGACCCTCACTGCCCGACTAGGATTTGACATGGTGAGTGAAATTGTCTTGCTGCATCTGGAGTATCCTAATAGAACAAAAAACACCGGCGGCTCCACTTTCCAGTCCGTTTGCGTGGTGCTGATACTATTGAAATAGGGCACCTCTGCGAAGTCTGTCCGGCCCTGACTCCGTGTATGGAGGCTGCTGCTGTTCTTTTAGCTAAAATCTCACGGTTATCAAAGTTGCGTTTTAGAGAGATATCATTCTTCCGAAAAAAGTTCCCGTTTCCAAGACATAAGTGTTGTTAGTGACATGAACGATCTTGAATTTTGTTATTCTATAAAGTGTTTTTTCAGACTTTACGTCTAGGCACTTTCTGAAATTGTTCACACTGTTAGGACTATACAACAACGCAGACTCTAATTACTTGTAACGATAGGTCTTGGGCGCGACGGGCCTGGAGAGATCAAATATTCTCTGCTGGAAGCATCGGCAGCACGGTCGTAAAATTTCAAGGTACTCTTGCTGAGACCACTTTTCAGGGCATTGGTAAGCAATTTCTTGCGGGACCCAAACACCCGCATCAATCTGCGCCCCGTCTCCACGATGATATTCCGATTCAACTGACTCCATCGATTATCAGCTAGAATGAGGTCCTCGAGGACCTTGTATTGCTGCGTATCTGCAATCATTTGACCAGGGACCACCTTTTTGAAGCGCGGAGCCACATATGGGCGGAGTGAACCATGTTTCACCACTTTCACTTTGTCCGAGCTGTAGTTGTGACTGTGACGACATTCCGGTTTCAAGAGGTTCCGAGCGAGGGTAGTCTGATCTGAAGCATTAGCAAGAATCTTATACCTGGCCAAACAAAGTTCCGTGTTTGGATTTCCTGAGGTCATCTAAGTTCGTATGAAGGACATGATTGAGGCCTCTGTAATGAGGGCTAAACGCCTTGGTACCCAGCTTAAATTTCATCTTCTGAATTGTCCGTTCCACTAACCAACAGCCACGATGATTCGAGAATGGGCAGAAAATTTGTTCGGTTCCGAAATTTTTTGCCAAAGTCCTGTAGCACTGCGTTTTTAAAACCTGAGTCATGGTCTGCGCGAATAGATTTTGGTGTGCCGTGCATACCTCAATATGCTTCTAGGAATTTAACATTTTTTTTCAACCGGTAATTTTAGTAGGTAGAACAGACGGGAATTTTGGGAACCGATCTACGGCTACCAAGATAAAAACCTTTTTCCCTTTTACGTCCTGCAGTGGGCTCCCAAAATCTAATTGTAATTCCTCATTAGGAGAAGAGAGAGATGGAAGTGGGAGCGAAGTAATCGCTGCTTTAGTCGATTTAATGTTCTTACCAAACTTCGTGCATTCCATGCAGATCTGACACTTTTCGACAATCTGTCGACTCAGGTAGGGCCACCAGATGTACTCGGCCGCCTCGATCATGGCCTGTGGTCCGGGATGAGATCGGTTTATTCGTGTCAAAATTGCCGACACAAATTTTAACGGTATCGCCACCTTGTTGTCAATGAGGATGCAATTTTCCGCTATCGACGCTACTGGCCAGAACTGGGCGATGTACAGACCCTGTTTGGAGAAGGTTTGGACATCATTGTCCAGGATTGCTCTCTTCATCGGTCCGAGGAACTTATTTTCCCCCGTTAACTTTGCCAGTAAACCGACGTCTAACAGACGGCGTAGAGCCACAATCACCTTCTTGTCCTGTGAGACGAACGGCCTCGTTTTGATGGAATATACTCCCTCTCTAGCGCGTAGTTGACGATCCCGGTTAGAAATTCGCCTTCGCCGGCCCTTTTCAATGAAGGACCTTTTTTTCTTGGAGGTCCATACCAATTCCTCCTAGCCTGAGATATCAGAAATAGCAGCCACATGAGTCTGACTAGAGGGCGAGAGCGAACAGGGTTGAGAGGAGCCATCTCGACAAAAGTAGGAGCTGGGGTGTCTTCTGTGTCATTACTAGGGCCCCGCGGGAAAAAATCGCCAAAGTCTAATAAGTTCTCTCAATTTGCCGTATTGTAAGTAAGGCGGATGCATTTAGAGCAGAGGTCATATTGAAGTTTGATTGGCCAACTGAATTCTAGTGAACAATAAAGCAAAACTGCTTTGAAAATGACTGGAAATGATCTTGACTTCTTGCAATTTGCATTGTAAAATCTGACTGATTGAACACGAAATCGCATGATCGGTCGCCCTCTTTCAGTGTGGTGCTTTCATTGCATCTTTTTTCTCATTGGCTTAGGGGACCCGCCATTTTTATGCAACCGATTGAACACGAAATCGCATGATCGGTCGCCCTCTTTCAGTGTGGTGCTTTCATTGCATCTTTTTTCTCATTGGCTTAGGGGACCCGCCATTTTTATGCAAATAATTGGTAAAAATTTTCCATCAAAATACACCACTCAAGGAGTGGCGAATAACGCGAAACCAAACTAGGCTCTGATTGGATCAAACTACTTGACAAACAACCAACGCCCTCTCGCGGTGAAAAACCGCTGATTTTCTCGTAAGACGACGACAAAATTTGGTCACACCTACCGGCGCTTCACT